ACCGCGTCACGCCGGCACTGCCACACCAGGCGCTGGTCCTGCCATATACTCGCATGCGCGCTCCGCCCTGCGTTGTCCGGCGTCCCTTTGTCGCAAAAAGAGGGAGGCGCAGTGTTGTCTAGGTAACGCACAGGCGCCAAATGCAGCATGTTGCATTTTGCGCTGGTTGCCGTCGGGTCACGCCGACGTAAGCTGGTCGCGCCTGGCGTCAGACTATAGATTGCTCGCGTTTTTCAACGTAGCGTCGCGTTGCTCAGCATGCCCGTGCGTCTTCGCTACATTGGAGTATATTGGGCGCTTCATGATGCCCTCGCGTCCGTTTTGCTAGCTCCACATATACCCAGTTTGGTATTACGTGACGCCAGTGGATGACGAAATATATGACTGGTGCAAACATGATAGTCCTGACACGCGTGTCATGTAGGAACATGACACCACACCACACTCACAGCGTGCTCACGGCCGTTTCGCTAGCTCCACATATATTAAATTTGGTATCACGTGACGTGAATAGATGACGAAGGTAAACGACACATCCAAACATGATAATCATGACACGGAAGTCATGTGCGGAATCATTTACTTTCTACTTGTAACGTTGCGCTGATTTGAAAAAGACATGTCAACATTTCTCATCCGTGCTTCACATATTATCGATTTCCACTGTACGTGGGATCCGACAGTTTTTTGCAGTCAATCTGTTAAAGTGTTTCCTCTTGATGGTGTGTTTTCTTTATTAGCGAAAATTTTTTCTGCATAGAATGAATTAGATAGACCCTCAAGACGTCCTGTTGTCTTTTATACTATCCCCGCAGGGCGCGGTTTCGAATACCGGCTGCGGCGGCTGCATTTCCGATGGAAGCGGAAATGTTGTAGACCCGTGTGCTCAGATTTGGGTGCACGTCAAAGAACCCCAGGTAATCTAAATTTCCGGAGCTTTCCACTACGGCGTCTCTCATAATCATATCGTGGTTTTGGGACGTTAAACCCCACATATCAATCAATCTTTTATACTATCTAAATTTTCGTGTAAAAATTCAACTTCAATGCCGGTTAAATATATCGATGGCACATAAACACACATACACACACATATCTGCTAAGATTTCTCACCATGAAAACTTTAACAATCTCTCTTTCCCTCGTGTCTTTGCGTGTCTTTCCTCGTGTGCTTTGCCCAGGCTAACGTTTTCTTTCCTCCACCTTGTGCATATGTGTTGCGTTTCCATCAAATAAACAGTCAGTTCACGCTCGTGTTGTGTTATACCTAAGTTTTTCGTGCGTCTTTCATCGTGTTCGAACAGGTCGTCACAAGTGTCAAGCATTCGAGACTCATTTGAAGTACGAGCGATCTTGGAAGCACTACATCACCGTAGCATACCTGAAACATTTGTAAATACCATAGCCAACATTTAGAAATACTCCAAAGCTGGCCTGCTTCCCTGGAAATAAATAAAGCAGAGGGTGTGGGACGTATCCATAAATATCGCATCTGAAAATGCTGATTGAAATCCCCTCCAAAAAGTGCGCGGAGTTGCACTTCATCGTCAAAAGCCCGTTCGGTGTGCAGCCTTCAGAGTGATCCAGCACAGAACGAACGATGGATGTTGCCGCAGTTTTTCACTGGCAGGGCCTGCAGCGAAAAAGTTTTATTACTTACACAGGCCTAAATTTGTTCAAGAGTCATAACAAATATGAGAAGTTTTAGTGCTTACGTGAGTATGCGTTGCCTAATTGGTAACAGACGAAAAGCATGCTTAATGAATGGAAGATGTGCATAAAGTTGCGCAATGCTCGCGTAAAGAACACCAATATTCGTGTTTAAATCGGTCTTGGCAAGTGAAATAGCACCCAGCTAGGGTGACGCAAACACGTTCTTTACATCGAAGCCTCCCTTTTAGTGTTTATGACAAAAGGAACACTGTAAGTGCTGAAGAGAAGATATTCCAGAATAAACAGCTCGCGGTCGCCTGTAACGTCACTTCCTTGTAATATAGTCAGCGAGTGCAGATTGCTTCGAGAGACTGTTTCCTTTTTGTCTAATTGAGGCGTAGCATTTTGCTTTATAGTAGCATCAAAGAAAGACCTGCGTTAAAAAAAAAATACCCGTATGAAAACGAAGAACGCGTTGCCCAATATATTCTCAGTGCATCTCGTAGATGTTGTGATAGAACATAATAAAAACGGGGTAGTTCACACAGTGGACCCAAATATGACATAATGACACGTTTTCATGCTGTTCTGCCATAATGTTCGCGAACAACTAACCCCAATAAAAAACCTCGTAGTTGTCTCATTTTTTGACCCCTGTGCAGGTAACTAAAATGTGTCATCTTATTCGCTACTATATGCTGGACTAGCCGCGAACATCAGTCATGAACTCATACATTTTTTGATTGACTGATTGATTGATTTGTGGGGTTTAACGTCCCAAAACCACCAGTTGATTATGAGAGACGCCGTAGTGGAGGGCTCCGGAAATTTTGACCACCTGGGGTTCTTTAACGTGCACCTAAATCTGAGTACACGGGCCTACAACATTTCCGCTTCCACCGGAAATGCAGCCGCCACAGCCTGGAATCGAACCCGCGACCTGCGGGTCAGCAGCCGAGTACCTTAGCCACTAGACCACCACGGCGGGGCCTCATACATTTTTTTTAACTTAGGAAGAAGTGGTACTTCATGGTTTTGCGATAGAGCTAGGACAATGTGTTCGCTGCTCTCGAACACACAATGTCCACAATGTCCTCTGGGACACGCAATACCTGTGAGGCACGGGTCAGTTGTGCCACCTCCTGGCTACGCCACTGCTGACATTCGCTATGCTGTCGTCAATTCACTATGTGACCACATTTACAGGTACAGGGCAGCAAAGAATGTCCAATCATTTGATGATTATGTTTTCAGCCCCGCGCCTCGCCACTGAATCAATGAAGCCGCAACAACAGCAACAACTGCAGCATCTTGACCTGCGCATGGCGCTCACTTCGCGGTATGATGTAGAAAACATCGACAAAGATCAACTACACCACTATTCCATGGTAATTCAGTATACTCTATGAATATCAAAAACGGTATAGTATTTTCTTCCTTACGTTCTGCGCTTTTAAAGCAGCCACGATCAAGTTGAAAGATAGTTCCAGCAGTCAGCTTCTCAGCTTCAACAAGGCAGGCAACAAAAACTCTGCGAAAACGAGCTCATAAAATGGGTTAAAAAAGACCACGTGAGAGCATGTCATGCGCCTAAAGGTGTCGTCAGCAAATTCTCTATTAGGCGAAATCTTCATCACTTCTTGAATGGACTGAAAAACGTTTCCAGCAAATACCAGAATGACATGCTTTTTTATGTCCCTCAGAAACTTGGAAAAATTTTTCTTTGGTGTAAAAAAGGGGCCCTTTGTGAAATCCGGATGCAAAACTAACGATGTGAATAAGGTACCATGTAAGCTAGCATGTGCGTATATGACTGCTTTATTGCGTGGTAAAGAATATTATGAACTGAACGGGTGGTGCATCAACACAAAGCTGCAAGAAGAACACCGACGCCCGCTCTCCTCCTCTAATACCCCCACCCGTCATCTGGCTAATCATCGGCATCTATGTGGATGTAATTTCCCTTGTTTAAAGGGAAGTCCTTTTCTGGCATCATAACAAAATAATAAGAAAACTTATTGAAGCTTTTCTCGTCACTACATTACAAGACGATTGTGTCAGCCAGCCTTCTATTACTCTCTTAGCAAAACAATTTGAATATCGCATACATGCGTGTGCATTCGCCCCTATTCATAAGGTAGTCTATGACTGTGTAGGCTTCTTAACAAGACCACGTGCTTCCGGCTGATATTCCCTTTGCGTGGCTCGCTTGGTACCTTCATTGATAATTTTATTTGTGTGTCGATGTTGCTTGCATATAAAGGGTACAATAAAAGTTTTAGCATGTTTAAGCCATATCTATCTATCTATCTATCTATCTATCTATCTATCTATCTATCTATCTATCTTGTATTAGTATATGACGAACATAAATGACAGGTGATGAAGGGAATCTCCCATCGCTTTGTCTTAGTGCTTTTGGTGCTTTCGAGTCCATTTCAAGCAGTGTTGCGAACCTAGCTTCTCAACGACTGCTACAATGCGTGCGAGCAGCGATATCTCATTGCGGCTTCGTTTCGCTCCCAGTGTTTCGGGTCATACTGGATACAATAAGATGACCTGTCCTTCTAATAGCGCAGTGGTCAGGGTGCTCTGTCCATTTTAATACTATGATTCACGCGGCCAACTTTGCGATAACTTTGATCGTACTACCATACCTATCTTGTTCAAAATACCAGCTCAACGGAGAAGTTTCGCACAGCTATGGTAGCAAGCAACGGGCGTCGTAGCTAAGGTGAATTTAAATTCGTGCGTGTCAATAAAAATTATGATAGACAACATGTGCCACCGGCGGAAGACCATTTATATTTTCTTTCTTTTGTACTGCTAGGGAACTGCCAATACACAAGACATTCATCATTAAAAAACAAACCCAAATCTTGAGGGAGAAGAAGCAAAATCATGACGCCTACAGTGCTCGCGGAGGCATTGCGTAAAGGGCCAATGACTAACACAAAAAACACGACGTAGACGGAGCCGGCGGTCTTTCGGGGAGCCAGAAACAAGGTTGGCATAGTGAGCACACGAAAGGTATCGCCTGTAGAGAAATTCAGTTTTTTTCTTTTTGTTCTCATTTTTTGTCGTTTGCCATTTCGCGATGGAATTCACGGCCTCTCCACGGCTTTTCTTACGCGGAGCGCTTAGGACAGGTTACGAATGTTAAGATAACGATTTGGGGGAGGTTGCAAACAAGCTTCCGGATTTCGTTTGTACTGCGTGAGCTAGCAACGCCCATTCCTGTTTTCCGAGCGGAAGTGATGGATACTTATTCTCTTTAAACTTACGTGTAGGCAGGGTATATATACCCACCTGGCAGCCGTTCCAAGGCAAGAAATCATTGCTGGCAACTTGTCTGCAAAACAAGCACCTTCTCCCGTGCTCCTTTTCCCAGTCAAAAAGGATACCACAATTCCACAGAAGACCATGAAGTGTCTGGTGAGATGAAATGTGTATAGTTTATTTACGCATGTTATCCCAGAACTGAATCCATCTGAAGCGCTAGAATTGCGACGGTCGCATAATAATTTGTTTTAGTTTCGATGCTTCAGGTGTGAAGCGACCAAGTTATGAATCAAAATTTGATAGGTTCTTCATTCTAGCCGGAAGTTCAAGCTTTTTTACCGTGATATAATCGAATTTGAAATGTGTGTGTGTGTGGGTGGGGTAGGTGGAAAACCATTGATGATATCACTCCATAGTCTAAACATAGTGCACGCAATGCAAATCGTAGGTCGATAGCTGTCCAAGCAAATCGAAAACCTGCACATTGGGTAGGCAAAAAGTGTTTTCACATTGATGTGAAAATTTTCTTTTTGCCCTTCTATACGTACAACTTCTAAAGAACAAATAACGAATCACAGTATTTGGAAGGTTTGATGCAGCCGAGAATTCACTATCGGATAGGCGCACTTGGCTGCTCTTTATTCATTTTATTAAGGTTTAGGTTCAGAACATGCTTTTTGCAGCCCCACGGTAACCTATATGCAGCCATTATGGCTCTTGAACGGTTGAAGTGCTACAATTTAGACAGACCGTGGTATCTAACAGACAACTACGCCAAGTAAAGTGTGTGAGACATTATTTTGTCGTAGATACCTGTAGCGTTGCAAGTGGGAAAAAAACATTATTGAAAAAATTATTGTTGGAGGCTGTTCTAAAGGTATAACTTCAATTAAATTTATTGCTGCACTTTTCGCTACATTGCCGCCAAGATCCATGCGAAGGTGTATGTGCGTACGCTAATTTCTCCTAAGCATTCTTCCGCAGCAATTTTAATAAAAACAATGAAGTCGGAAGAGTTTTGCAGCATTCTCGTTCCAATGAAGTAGCGCTAATGATGTTTCGCGCTGTCAATTTTTGATAAAATATGCTAGCGAGACTAGAAGCAGCTCGGCTGCCAATAGTGTTTGCACTTCATAAATCTGGTATTTAGGAATCGTTGAGCAAGTTCCTTCGTATACAGGAGGAATGCACTGGCACTAACACTCCTTACTAATAATTAATACTTGAAAATTTTATGAATTTATGCGTGTCCGTACATTTTCACGCCTTCCCTCCTTATTTGTTAAAAGAGGTATTCGCAAATGTTCGCAATTGTGCAAATTTCATAAATTATGTGTGCGTGTGAGAATTCTGTAGAGTTATGTGCGCTTATATGTCTATAAGTTTGTATATATATTCTCTCTGCTGAGATCTGGTTCACAGTATTTACAAATAAACAAATTACATCGTTTGCTGTCACATTTGATCAATTTTTGTTAATACCCATTGAGGCGATCATTATGAATGGCTCTTGTGGGGACTTATGCAGTCGTGTATGGAACTGCGTTTACCTCTTTGGCTCATTATGTACAAAACCGAAAACGAAGAAAGCCCAGCGTTGCGGAGCTCTATAGAAAGCATACTCTGTTCGTTTATTTTCAGATGTCGCTGCTTGCCCTCTCGGCCGTGATTGCTGTTGTCACGGCTGGCTATGGCTACGGACATGGCTATGGCGGCTATGGCGGATACGGAGGCTATGGTGGATACGGAGGCTACGGTGGATACGGAGGCTACGGTGGATACGGAGGCTACGGCGGCTACGGTGGTTATGGCCATGGTGGATATAGAGGCTACGGTGGATATGGAGGCTATGGTGGATATGGCGGCTATGGTGGTTATGGCGGTTACGGCGGATACGGTGGCTACGGAGGATATGGTGGTTATGCCGGCTATGGTGGCTACGGAGGATACGGTCATGGTGGATACGGCGGCTACGGGCATGGATACAAGCTCATCAGCTACGGACACGGCTACCATGGATAGGTTTATTGTAAAGCACTGTTTATTGAACTGTAAATAAAGATAACTGTGATATCAACATCATTTTATGGTCGTGTGTAATTTATAGATGACCGTATGTAAAAGAGACACTGCTACACTCACACTTAATTGATACGAATAGACGTCCATAGTGAAGTAATAGAAACAAATTCAGTAGCCTGCTAAAGGCTCAGAGCCCAGGTATTGTGCTCCAGGTACGTTGCCAGAGGTAACAATACATGCTCAAAATCAGATTTACAAGCCGCAAGCGTAGCGTTTCTTCACATAAATAAAACTTGGATCTTGTGCTGTGTCTGCAAATGAGAACTAGTAATTCCTGGCAGTGTATCAGTGCAAACGTTCTCAAATCAGTGCAAACGTTCTCAAATTCTCATTCTGCCTTTTCAGATCATCTATCCGAAGCTGGAATCACTTCTATAGGCCTTTAGATAATTTTCATAGGCCGGTGTCGTTTTCATGCTAAAAACGCTTTCAAGCTGGTCAGGAGCAGAATTGGGTTTTCACAGTATCGCGTCGGCAACGCCTGTTGAATATTCGGTCTTCCAAAAAGAGTAACAGCATACATGTTTAAGCTATACGCGCTATCGCGATTGGTAAGTAACAAAAGCCATCGTGCAGCTCACCTCTGTTCACACCACCTGAATGTGTTCTATGGCGTTATATGTGATAGCGAGCTTCATATAAAAGTATGTATACATATTCTTGAGCGTCCAGGCATGCACATGCCGCCTGATTGTGCGGCTAACACATACGAAACTTTAAAAGAGAGACAGATGCAGGGAAAGGCAGGAAGGGTAAGCAGGTACACGCCTCGTTTGCTACCCCGCACTGAGAGAAGGAACAAAAAGGTGCAAAGACAGACAGAAGAGGAGAATATTACATGGCTTAGGAAAGCACATCTAGTCTGAAGGTGATCACTCAGATTCGTTTATTACAGGTACTTAAGTAGCGCTTTAGTTGCCTTATTTCCTTGTGAAGCACATGTCTGAGGTCCTAGAATATTGTCTGTAGAAAATGATGCGGAGTTGAAATGCTTCAAAAGAAGCATCCAGTGGGTACATCCCTGGGTGTCCTAGTGAGCACCGTTGTACAGGATGTTTTTAATTGTCTCAAGCGATGAAGCAGTGCCTATTAGCTTATCTATGCCATTGACCAGTGAATCCGTAAGCGCATATCAAGTCACAGTACTAACCAGCGCCTTACACTCAATAATTTTCAGTGTAACTTCCGAACAATTCATCAAAAAATATTTTGACTGCATAAGAAGTCAGGTGCCTGAGGAAAGTTAGTGTTGTGGATGGGGTACCTTGTACACCAGCCCTCGAAGTTACGAATCCTGTATTTGAGAAAACAGTTTGGTCTGTGTGACGTCGACGATCCACGACATTGCCCCGCCGAAGTTGTCTAGTGACTAAGGTACTCCGCTGCTGCCCCGCAGGTCGTGGAATCGAATCCCGGCTGTGTCGGCTGCATTTTCAGTGGAGGCTAAAATGCGGTAGGCTCGTGCGCTAAGATGTGAGTGCATGTTAAAGAACCCCAGGCTGTCGAAATTTCCGCAGCCATCGACTACAGCGTTTCTCATAATTATAGAGTGGTTTTGGGACGTAAGGTCCTGCCTATCAATCAATCAACGAACCAAAATAACTTGTACTTCAAGCACCCCAAAATAACAGTAAAATAAAAAATGCAGGGCAAACGTGGTAATTGATCGTGTATAATGTCGTATGTTAATTCCCTGTTAAGTGTATTTTCATCGTTTCAAACGAGAGATTTTCACTTCCATCGCCTGTACATGAAGGTTCCACTCAAACGCTATATAAGCGAGATGCTCGACAAATCGAAACTCCACACCACACATCCACACGGCAGGATCCAACTAGCGAACCAATCTTACCTGTGTTGTCTCTAGAGGGAAGTTCATGGGCATAGACTGCGCTTGCATCCCGTCATATTTTTTTTTCTGTAAATTGGTTCCTCTGGGTCTTTGAGTTCTCTCTATTCTAAGTTATGCACGATGAGAAGTGCCGCAGCTGTCTTTCCGTATGTAGGCCTGCGAAAAATTGCAGGACGCCCGAGCTTCGCCTTTGGGAGTCCGTCGCAATAACTAAATCGAGTCTGGTGCGCATGGCCTCCTGAACTAAGAACCTACTTTGGTTGTCAGTGCATGTCTGAATCTTGCCATGAAAAAAAATGAATGACTGCGTGCGTTACATTGGCTGTTTCAAAGTATTATCGAATGCCTACTGCAGGGCCAGTTGTTAAGGGCCTTCTGCGTCATAATTACTTTTTTCCGCGAGTCAGCGATTGGTCCACTACGCGGCAACACGCGGGCCAACGCAGCTCTTCTCTTTGTTTCTGCTGCTGATCGCGATTGAATATGTCACAGCGCTTTTACTGAATGGGCCTTTAAAACATCCACTTGTTTCCCAATTGACATGTTTGAGCTCTAGCACGCTTCTACTCTTCTGCCACGCTATATATGATGCTTTAAGAAGACTCCGTCTACTACATAGGATTCACATAGCGATTTTTTACAAGGCAGTTTTAACAAATCTCGGGTCTCTGGTAGGACACCTTCTTGCCATGCGGATGGACTGAGTTGGCTCCTCATTTGGTCCGAAAATTTTCATTATCTAATTTTATTTTTTTGATTTATTTTACATTCCTATTTATTTATGCTGCGGACCCTTAGGTCCAAGCAGGTGGGCAGTGTGAAAAAGACGTAGTTGATAAAATAAGTGGCATAACAAATTGTTCGGGGTGGGTGTTTCATACAATCATAGTGAACACAAATGGCGACATAGAAAATAATTTCGTAATAACGCATGTACCAAACAAAAAGAAAGAAAAAGAATACTACAGATCAATACTTCATGTGTTGTGTGATTATTGTAAAAATAACTACATAATAAATGCAAAACAATAGAGCAATCATCAAAGGTTCTTGAAAAATATTTTGACCGCATAAGAAGGGAGGTGCCTGAGGAAGGGTACTGTAGTTAATTGGGTACCCTGTATAGCAGTCTTCGAAGTTTTATTTGCATATTTCTCGTTTTTTTCTGGCATGGACAAAATGATGATTTCTCGCTCACGACCAACGACGCCGATTCTGACGCGAAGCCAATGCTGCCATCTCTGCGGAACGAGCTCTACAACGCTCTCGAGTTAATGTCGGTCGCCTTCTCGAAAAGTTTCACGCAACGCCTTCATGTTCGCGACATTTGTGTGTCGACGTCTAGTATTGAGCATCGCTTTTATATTATTATAAATAACTGGAATAGCTGTCGCCACTCACTAAGGATGGCCACCCCTGTGCAGTTAATGCTTTATTGGGCGTTACATTTCGATTAAAAGAATGTGAATTGTAAACAGGAAGATCGACTGGCATTTACCATTTCGCGTGTGTGATTCAGAAGCGCAATCATTACAGGAGGCTATACAAGACGTAAGATTAAAATGAAAATAATTATGATCCCTGAATTTGATTATGTAGCACTTACTTTGTTACGCGATTCAGCAACACTTGCCATCATGCAGATTTCAACATGTGTGCACGTCGGGCCTGCACGTATTCCGAGCGGAGTTCGCGATGCTTGGTGGAACATTTTATTGCTCACATAGGAGAACAAATAAATAAGTATTCATTTATTAGTAAAAATAATCTCAACTACAAGAGTTGAAAGCATGAAACTTGTCAATGTTATGTGCATGATTCAATTGTCACTGCTTTGTGGTATTGATCGAAGCATAATGCGGGTCCTGGATAAAACGTGTTTGTTTTCACAGCGTTTTCATTTACAAAAATCGTGCGCATTATTCAGTTTCATGACAACAAAATGTGCATTCAAAACAAATAAAATGGACAAACATCAGAATCTATCTGATGAGATTTGTAAGGCTTTATTATTAAAAGAAAGTAACATTGCACAGGACGCTGAAAGAGGCCATGAAATCCGGGAGCTTAAAATTTTCGATCACTTTAGGGAAGAGCTTTTATTTTGGGATACTATAGATGCCATATGTTCCTTCAACGCCTTGTTGAACTTCTCTAAGGAGTCCACCAAATTTCCACCAGCGTGCTTGACAACTTTGTTCATTCCATCGCCCATTTTTTTTATGGCATTGAAGATATCGCCAATGAAGTATTCGTCGCCCTGCAATAACAGAACGGCACGGTTAGGGCATGCGCTGTCCCGTGATTTGCGGGCGAGATTTCTGTCACCTTCGAGGCAGGCTCCCTTCGAAATGGCTGTTCTCGTTATTCCTGCATAGATATACAGTGTCAATTACCTCTGGCGTATACCCACATACTGTGGATTGTGTTATGCGGGTACGTGTCACACGTGTCTGCAGGAAAAGGTGTGACGCCGTACGTGACAGGAGCTTCCCGTTATTCATGTCATCACCACACAGTCGTATTCGTCGAAACCCTCTTTTTATACCAGTTGTAGTTCATACTAAGCTAAGGAGTTGAACATGAAAGCCCCAGACGTAGCTCATGGTATATATATATATATATATATATATATATATATATATATATATATATATATATATATATATATATATATATATATATATATATATATATATATATATATATATATATAGAAGAATAACTTTGGTTGCCGCGCAAGATTAAAAGCATAGCCGTCTTTTCGAAGGGAGCCAGCCCAGTCTTTTTCAAGGCATAACACTATTTACACATTTTCGTGCCTTCTTACAGCTTCTCGAGACAGGAGGGAAGGGGACATAAAAACAATATTAACAACAAAAAAAGAACGAAAAAAAAGAACCAAGAAGAAAAGAAGGAGGAAGAAACGTTAAAAAGAAGCAAGAAAGGCATGCCTGGATTGGGAAGGAGCTGGAACTCAACAAAGGCGAACGTAAACGAGCTATGCCATCTTTGTCAACAGTACCTCCCGAGCACCCAGCCTTCCCCCAAGTGGACATTTTGAGCACCGTTTCTCTATTTCTCTATTTTACGACAAATCGGTGGGAGAGCTGAAGCTCTCCAATATATATATATATATATATATATATATATATATATATATATATATATATATATATATGATATGGCACAACGGGAGCGTTGTCAAAAAAAAAACAAGGACAGTGTTCAATCAGAAAATCATTTCTTTGTCACCTGGTCACAACGATGTCACTGGTGACAAAGTTCATAGCTGGAGACCATGCTTGTTTTTTCTGATCGACTCGTACGTGTACACTGTCCTTTTTTGTTTCTTTTTTTTTGCTTTTTTGTTTTTTTTTTCACATGCACATACAAAGTGTTTACGCTCGCCTACCACTTGACGGCCTTTGAGGAGAATCGGGTGAAGGTGAAAGGTAAAAAGCCGACCGACCCACTAAGGGGAAACCCTTTTCTTACGCACGCCGTCGCGGGCCCCTCTCGAAACTGTTGCGAAATAAATATATTTATCCATGTTGACAACGCTCCCGTTATGTGCCATATCCTATACCTTACCTTCATGAAGGCTAACTGGCCCTTTGAATTATTACTCCCAGTATATATATATATATATATATATATATATATATATATATATATATATATATATATATATATATATATATATATATATATATATATATATATATATATATATATATATATATATATATATATATATATATATATGCAACTCTGTCATGAAAAGGTACACACATTAATAAACTATTTGACCACAGAGCCTGCTTGAATAGACCACCATGTTTGAACCTTTCGTTGCAATTCAGGGACTGCCGCTACGCACCTAGGATGACGGAAGCAAGTGTGCTAGCAGGATTTCAGGAAAAAACGGAGCGAGAAATTGAAGAGGCTTTCTTTATGTGGCGATGCGTGTGCCGCGGGACCATCGATAGTGCTGCAACCTATCGAAGTCGACTCCATTACTGCTTGTCACTACAACAATTCATTTGTTTTCGTGCTCTTATTCTCCCGTCACGTGTCAAGTTCCTTAAGCATATATGTGTGTACGTTATTTAGTGAATTTGTGCTTATAGTGAGCGCTGTATTTGTGTTCTTCTTTCTGGTGTCTTTTGTGATACGTTATTAATAGTAATAAATAAATTTTGAAGCTGTGCAAGTCTTTAGATCAACCAGTAATAAATGGAGTCGTGGCGCTTTCCTAATATTATATGGTTATATGAAATTGAAGAATCGCTGATGGAAGCGTCTCACCATTTCGTGGACATTATAGTAAACGACCACTTAAATGTATGGTGGGAAAAAGCAGAAGCTGAGTGTGAAACGAGACCGGGCTATACATAAACCACATGAACAGTAAAATTAGAAAGCGGTTGGCACGAATGGCAGGTACAATATGTTTCACACTTAGCGAAAATCTGAGAGCGCATGACATCGCGGTCCGGCCGTAGCAGCAGACACGGTTCAACACTACGCCCCTCAAAAGTCTGCACGCGACTGCAGCACTGGCCGCATCGCCATCTCATGCACTTTGACATTTCCCCTAAATGTGACACAGACTGTACATACAATTTATAACGAGTGTAGTCTTGCATGCGCAGCCTTCTCTCTTGAAATAACACAAGTACTTATTTCACTTAGGTCAATTTTCAGAATTGTGAACCTTGCATTGCGTAGAGCGAAGAGGTTGTTCTATACGTGACTAACTAAGTTTATATGGACTAATTAGCAAACATATGGAAATTCGCAAATCATATCTCCCGACTACGAACAGCCTATGGGCACATATGTTGAAGGGCACACTGAAGGGCACATATGTTGTTCTGAAGGGGCAAATATATCTATGGTGCACACGTGACTATAGTGTGCAATAAAGTATTCCTCATTGAAATTGAGGAACAGGAAGGCAATCAGCGCTCTATCTTGTCAGCCTATGACATTGCGTGGAGCAGTGTTATTCATACACATTACCGTGCTGCAACTTCAACTACATATAGGTGACACAAAAATTGTCTCACGTTGGTGAACTACGGTATTTTAATTGGCCTGTTGACAACTCCTCTTAGTTGGCAGTTCACCTTACCTTTGGCGTAATTTCAAACCAGCGCTAGCTTAGAACCAATCACTGCGAATACCAGTGACAAGATTTGTAGTCCGCATTGCTCTCGTAGTGTTGTTGACGGGGTGAGTGCATAAAAATAACACAAGCTTTCACGAATGCATGCTGCATGCACGCGGTTCCCGCAGCTACAGAACCCAAGAGCAGGTAGCGCCACCAATCCCAAATTTGGGTTTTCAACGTATTCGGGCTCGATGTATGCGCCGAGTGGCAGGAAACCGTGAATAATAAATACTATTCACATAATAAGAAAACATCAAAGCATCATGCGTGGGGGATAAGCAAATACGTTTTTTCATAGTGTTTGGTAAAGCCAGCGAAGTAAATTCAGAAATTTCACAAGGAGAAGGTAAATCTGGCCGTGGAAGCCATTTTGCTTGTTGAGTGTGGATTTTTTCAGAAAACTATTATAACAGTTATACCTATGTTAAAAGGCATAAATAAACAATCACCAAGCGTGCGCAGAACGGGCCGCGCAGTCACAGCGAAAACTAAAAGCGCGGCCTCTCTTGAGCCTTTTTCGAGCAAGATTAGGGCAACTAGCTACAAGCACACTTTCGTGGTACCCACTACACTATAAATTATAATTTTTTCGTAGTGGGGAAACACCCACTATGCAAGTATTCGTAATTATTCGGAGAAGCGTGGTAACCGCTACACACTTGCAAGGCACTACTTGCACGTTGTTGATGCTGCAGTTCACGACGCTGAAGAATTACGCCTGAGGCGTTTTTGATGAGTTGGGGCATTCAATGACCGACTCGTTACGTAATTCAGTTTGTGTGACGCGTGGTCATTATCTATATGGGCTAAAACGCTTTATTGCACATGTTAACGCGATTCCTTACCCGACATAAAGTCTGCATGTGGTCAGTTAGAACGGACTTTTGAGCCACGGCATAGATCGGTGGTACAGTAATGGGCTGCCTCACCGAGAGCCTGGGTTTGATTCCCATTCTGTCTTCAGATTTTTTTATTCATTATGTTTTTCTTTACTCGCACGATAGTGGTTATGGTCAACGGTGGTGAAGGTGGCAGCTGCGGACAACTATGGTGCCTGAATCGGTCGTTGTGATCTCATATCAAGATTCCCCGTAAAACAAGCAAGGGTTCCGAGCTCGCGTAACTTCATTGTTCTGTTGAGTCTTGCCTGAAATCGATTGAGCGGCAGCAGTGATTTAAATAGTACTACACAGCTTAGGTGAATTCTCACTGGTACACACTGCAGAGTAAACGAGAATTTAAACAACATGAATGACCTACACTTAACTGTCAACTAAATCAAATATACGATGTCTGAAAGACAAATCTTAAGGGGTAACGTTTGCAAGCGGTGAACCCCACACATCCTGTCTGAAGAGGAAGGGGGGGGGGTGGATATTCCTTTGACCCCTTCCCCCATGATATACGCCAAACGCTTGTCTCAAAATACCTCGTCATGAAGTTGCGCGGTTTCCTGCTGTTTTCGTGAGATGACGTGTGGCAAGTCGTCCGAATCATTCGTTTCCACAGCAACATGTCTCGGTTGGTTCTCGATAGCAGGTTCATCAATCCTGTCCAGTTTGTGCGACGAAGCTGCGTGCAAGGCAAACGATTATTGTGTTGCCCGAATACATTTTAGTGCTTCGCTGGCTGATGAGCAACGTGTTTTACGTGCCGAAAGCCATACGGACAAGTGAACACGTTTGATCAGGTAACAGAAGTGTACAGATACAATCACACCGGGCCTCTTGCAAGGAGGCCGAAATAGCGATACGGCTAGCATGTGTTACTCAGCTTTGAAATAATAATAATAATAATAATAATAATAATAATAATAATAATAATAATAATAAAATCGTTTTTGCTCATTTAACAGGAAAGTAGTACATATATTAGGCCTGTCATAGCCACAAAAGGCTTGAACTGCAGTGCCTGGCAGAAGTGCAAAAACATCAATCTTCTGAATAATACATTGGCTTATGTAAAATGATACAATCAAATAAAAATGCTACAGGAATGAGAACAGCCACTTGCTTAGGACAATAAATTATTCTAACACCGGAGAACATCTCTTAACAGACATTTAGTCCAGGCAATCCGTAGATTTTACGCATAAATGTCAATCGATTACCGAATCTTGCCTAGTAGCAATTCTGAATATTCTATTTAATAGTTTATGAATATTCTCCTTCGAGTAAATACAATGATCAAAAAGTTGAATATGAATTACCATGACTTTAAGAACATTTCTTACCTTCACTCATATTTATTGAATGAAAGCCACATGGGCAATCTAAACTTTCAAAGAACGTGATACACACGCCAAAGTTTGGCCTGAAATAGAAACTTATTTGAAGTCCGACTTCCAGTATACTCAGTAGTGCGACCTGATGCCTGTAAAATGTGTGCACTGCTCATAGTAGGAAATTCCTGCGCCCCATATAGTAAATGTGCCAACTAAAAATTTGGAAGCCAAGCTAACAGCAGAGGTGCTTCTCCGGTGAATATATTTTTGTGCTGTGTTCGAAATGCAATTCATTATCTGTATTTCTGTTGTAATAACGGCAGTCTCATCAATCATCACTTACCAGAGAACACAGTGCAGCAAATGAGGTAAAATACAGCTAGTGAACGTCTCATGGTCCTGTAAAAGAAAGAATATATACGACATGAAAGCAGCGTCCCTGAGATATTCTCCTGTTTATGCTAACGGCGTTTGCCTATGGCGTCCTTATGTAAACAGATATTGTATGTATGTATGTATGTATGTATGTATGTATGTATGTATGTATGTATGTATGTATGTATGTATGTATGTATGTATGTATGTATGTATGTATGTATGTATGTATGTATGTATGTATGTATGTATGTATGTATGTATGTATGTATGTATGTATGTATGTACTTAGGAGAGCAGAGCAGTCGATTATAGCACACCCCTTATTGAAGTGTCGTATGCCAATTGCGTGGCATGTTAAAAAGGAGACTGAAAGTGGGCACAGTAAGGTGGTGTTCTCCACGAAATTCGAATCCATGCATAAGATGTAGAATGTCCTTCTTCTTAGTCAAACAATGCTTTCAGAATAACAGTTCTCACGCTATACCTAGCATCACTTTTTGCACTCAAGTAAATAATATGTGTATACAAGATATACTGTAAATAGCATACCTTATTTGTTATAAAGCATAATGTATGAGTTTTGTATGATGTCGCAGAATGTAGTCCGTCACAACTGCTTATTGAAGCTTTAGTTGATGCAAAGTTTACGATGCCACTTACCACGGCTGCAGCTGAACTTCGTTCTTGAGGAGGCCGTTTTTCAGTGCTGGAAGTTCATGCTTTACAGGCGGCATTTATATCTGCACTCCCGCCCCCTTGCACGACCAGCTTAATAGATGAAACAAAGAAACACCTACATGAAACATGAAACAGATGCACGAGACATGAGAGAAAGAGACAGATAAAACATCTGTAATCAGTGCTCCGAGCAGCAAGTGTTTGCCTAGCACACACTGATCGAGAGAATACACGCAGTTTCCGGCTATTTTGGCTCCTGTGAGTGTATACCTTACACGGGCTTCCACTGAGGACTTGCTGATAATCCAACTAATATGTATACTGTATCACGTACGAGACACACAAGAAAGTTACGAAGTGACCCACATGGAGCGCAATGCTGCAATCGGTTAGTGCCAGGACGTTATATATTGAACAAAGGGGAGCTTTCTTCGGAAGACTACGTTTCTCTGTTGGATGCAACCAAACTAGTTCTACGGAAAGTTATGTAAAACATCATACGTCATACTAATTGTAATCTTTAACCGCTTCGTAGCAGTTATAAAAAATTTTCAAACAGATTTTTGTGGCCAATAAGCTCCAAGTCTACAACCTCCGAATGCTGAGCCACATAAAAAGCGAAAAAAAAAACACTGCTCATGACGGCACGACCACCGAAACGCTACACAGACGCGAGCCGTGCTATAGCTCACGAACGCCATTTTCTTAGCAGATAAAATATAGAAAACAGAAAAATATAAAAAGCCCACATTTCTTTCAGAAATGATATCGTGTTTGCTTTAATAATGACATGTGTCATTCCATGTTTCATCTTTTTCAATGAACAAGCAGTTCTCAAACTAAAGTAAGCAACCACAGTTGTCGCAATGAAGTACCAAACCACTTTCCCATCCCAGTTTCATTTCGGTACTTACCTTGTTAGCAGGCTCGCGAAGCTGTTTATGCATGCCAGAACCTATGATTCTGCAGCAAACCCTGCGACCTATGTTCGGCGCATCTGACAGGCTAAGCCTTCGCTGCCCTTCAAGTAAGCTTAGTTCTTTTCTTTCTTTAGCTGTGGTGGTTAGTCATTTGGCAAAGATTAGTAAATTGTGCGGTGATGTTTTCAATATATATAATCAAGGAGATACTCCGTGAAAACAGTAGCAACGGAAGCGTTTATTGCGACTGTTCTGGCCAGAGTCTGGCCGAAACAGATGAAATAAACGCTTCCATTGCCACCGTTCCCACGGAGGATCTCCATGAATAATTGCAACGCGACAGCCACTGTCGCCACCATGCCGTGCAATATATATATATATATATATATATATATATATATATATATAGGTATGGGATATGGCACAACGGGAGCGTTGTCAACAAGGACAAATATATTTATTTCCCAACAGTTTCAGGAGGGGTCCTCCCTTTATCAGGAGATGAGTTATACTGACATGAATTTCCAAACTTCGTTGCTGCCGCGTCCCTCTCGCCTTGAAACATGTTTGCGAGAGTGAGAGGGAACTAGAAAAAGGAAAAAAGGGGGGGAGAAAAAAAGAAAAAGAAAGAAAATAAAGAAAGTAAAAAAGAGGAAGAACCACTGTCAACACTGATGACCACTTGATGACCATTGAAGGGAAACGGACGAAGATTAAAGGTAAAAAGAGCCGACCGACCTATTAACGGGAAACCCTTCCTTTACGCACGCCGCACGCCAACCGACCCATTACGGGGAAACCCTTTCTTTACGCACGCCGTCACGGACCCTCCCGGCATCGCGGCGACAATCTTGGGTGGCCCGACACACGTCGAGAACTGAACAGCAAGTGATAAGAAACGTATGTGGACGTACACGGACAGTTGGTTTCGTTCTCAGTGTTGACAGTGGTTCTTCCTCTTTTTTACTTTCTTTCTTTTCTTTCTTTTTCTTTTTTCTCCCCCTTTTTTTCTTTTTTTCTTTTTCTAGTTCCCTCTCACTCTCGCAAACATGTTTCAAGGCGAGAGGGACGCGGCAGCAACGAAGTTTGGAAATTCATATAACTCATCCCCTGATGAAGGGAGGACCCCTCCCGAAACTGTTGGGAAATAAATATATATATATCCTTGTTGACAACGCACCCGTTGTGCCATATCCCATACCTTCACGAAGACTAACTGGCCCATTGAATTAATACTCCCACCCACTACACGGGAGTGTCAGCGTCGTATCTAATCAAAACACCCTTACTCTCGAATATGACGCTGACACTCCCGTGCCACGTGATAGGCTAGAGCAGCCAAAAACTTATGAGAAAAATGTCCTCAATCTGTCAAACACAACACTCACACCCGCTCAGCTTCAACTTTTGTCGAGAGACTTGACCTCTTGTCCATCATCCGGTAGATTCAATGAATTTGAACTGTACCGAGACCTCGATAACTTGGCGCGTAATGTCCGCCTCCGTGAACACTTTCATTACAAAATTTCCAAAACTAGCATTAACTTCTTGGACGTCACTGTCACGGTCAAAAATGACCGCTTGTCAACAAACCTTTACAAAAAGCCTACAGATCGTCAAATGTACTTACATTCCAACAGAAGCCACCCAAAGCATTGTAAAACGGGTATTCCATATTCTCAGGCCTACCAGTACCGAAGAATATGCACCGATATGCGGGAATTTGACACACACGCAGAACACCTATAGCATTCGTTATTGAAACAAAATTATCCCGAAAACATTATTGACGATGCCATACTACGTGCTCGCAACGTGAACAGCAATGATATAATTAAGGGACCAAACAAAGTATCTAAAACGACTTCCCAAACGAACCTTATACTAACTTACTCCTCATCAGCGCCACGAATTAACAACATACTTTCCCGCCATTTCAACATAATCAGGCAAAGCAAACGACTAACTTCTATTTTCGTGAAGCCACCTCACGTGGTGTACCGCAGGGATAAAAATCTGAAGGACATTCTTGTCAAAGCAAAAACAAACACCCCCAAAATTCAATCAGGGTGCCATCCCTGCGGAAAAGCTCGATGCAAGGTATGCCCACAGATGGTCACAACACGTGAATCCAAAGTATCAACGAAGTTTGGAAGCAACGTGGCAGCAACGAAGTTTGGAAGTTCATGTTAGTATAACTCATCCACTGATGAAGGGAGGACCCCTCCCGAAACTGTTGGGAAATAAATATATTTATCCTTGTTGACAACGCTCCCGCTGTGCCATATCCCATACGTATATATATATATATATATATATATATATATATATATATATATATATATATATATATATATATATATATATATATATATATATATATATATAGATATATATATATATATATATATTTATATATATATATAAGGGAAACAAGTGTATACTTAAGGGCTCGTTTTTCGTGTTTTACACAATAATAATGTGATCTAGCAGACAATAATGCCAAGGAAGGTATAGGGGAAGTTATTAGGCCAATTGTAGTGTAAATGAGAAGAAAGAAAAGTAGGTGAACAGATAACTTGCCGTGGGAAGGATCCAAACCTGCGACCTTCGAATAACGCGTTCGATGCTCTGCCACTGAGCTACCATGACAGCTATCCCCCCAGCCACTTTATTGGGTATATATGTCAATTTAAACGTGGGAGTGTCAGTCAGCGTCACTAGTAGCCATGGTGGCGAGTGTGGTACACTCTTTATGAGCCTGTTTGGCGTCACGTAGCACGTGAACTTATTACTAACTGGCAGCTGACCAATAGTCCCCCGTACACAACCTAGAGGCACCAAGTCTGCCAGTACGAGACCCTCGTTACTGAATAAGGCAAACAAGTGTATACTTAAGGGCTCGTTTTTCGTGTTTTACACAATAATAATGTGATCTAACAGACAATAATGCCAAGGAAGGTATAGGGGAAGTTATTAGGCCAATTTTAGTGTAAATGAGAAGAAAGAAAAATGGGTGAAAAGATAACTTGCCGTGGGCAGGATCCGAACCTGCGACCTATATATATATATATATATATATATATATATATATATATATATATATATATATATATATATATATATATATATATATATATATATATATATATATATATATATATATATATATATATATATATATAAGTGTGTGTGTGTGTGTGTGTGTGTGTGTGTGTGTGTGTGTGTGTGTGTGTGTGTGTGTGTGTGTGTGTGTGTGATGCCCCGCCGCGGTTGTCTAGAGGTTGTGGGGCACTCAACTCCTCATCTTCAGGTGAGTAGTCGAGCGAGATTGAATCCCGGCTCTGGTGGCTGCCCATTCGATTGAGGTGAAAATGTTTGAACCCGTGTGCTTATATTTAGGTGCATACCAAAGAACTTTCACGTGATCAAGCTCTCCGCAACCAACGACTACGGCGTCTCTCATAACCATATTATTGTTTCGGGACGTAAAAGTTCAGACAATATATTATATTATTATGCATGTGCGTGTATGTCGCGAGGACCGCTCGCAGAAGGCGAGATGACACGTTCGGGTGCAGCGATAATCAATTGTAATGCTTGTGTGGCAATTGCTTCCAAGGAGACAATCCTATCTGAATAGTGCCGCTTCTATCTTCCTCAATGATGAACTAAAGCTCCATTGTTGTCTCGCCTGTGCAGTTGCGGGGCAGTTGTGAAAGTGTCGCTTGTTGTCGATGGGTAATGTTTGGACCAACTTGATAAAAAGAAATTCTGGTACCCTTGACCTGTTCCTTTCTTTCTTTCTTTCTTTCTTTTTTTTCTTCCTTTTTTCCTTCCTGTCTTTCTTTCTTTTTCTCTTTTTTTTTCCTTGTAGCTCATCACGCAACGCTCTTTCCTTGCCCTTTCCCACCCCCACACCGAACATAAGACCTTCATACTCGTGATTAGGAGCGCGAATCTTGATTCAATACAGGTGTCCACGGGCAGTCATCTCTTCCTATTCAGGTAATAATAAAACGTAGCAACGTGAAACGGCTAGTCAACTTCATGAGAGGTATCGATAAAGGTTACCACCATTGAGAGAGCGTAAATGATTGAAAAGATGGCGCACTCAAATACGCATGCAACCGGTGCACCTTCGGGGGCCGCTTTTCCTTGCGCTCAATCGCGGGAGCCTG